TGCTGAGCATCTTGACATAACATTCAGTTAGTTAAAAAATTTAAAACAGAACTGTGATGTCTCCCCTTTACAGCCTTTTGTTGTATGACTTGGGCAGAGGGCCACTCAAACTCGCGGTGATCCTCCTGTCTCAGCTTCCTGAATGGTGGAATTACAGATGTGTGCCACCATGCCCAGTTCCTCTCTGAGCTCTTGTGATATTCTTTTTATCTCTGCTAATGTCTTAAATACTGTTTTTGAAACACCTGTGACTGTGTTTAGATGGAAGAAAAGGAGTGAGAAGAGAGTGATAAATAAAAACTATAATTCTTACAACATCAAAAAAAAAAAAAAAAGATGTTTACCTTCCACAGTCCTTCTGACTTTGGCAAGGAGCCAGAAGTTGCATGGTGCCAGGTCTGGTGACTATGGTGGATGAGGACACACAGTAAGGGTTTACGAGCTGGCCTTGCTATTGGATGGCTCACAGCAGCAGCATTCACCAAATTTTTTATCACACCTCATAAAAACACTCAGGAAAAAAGACTTCCACAATTGTTTTATAAAGTGACAAGAACGATGAGAAAAGTGTGTTCAAAGCAAATATTTTGAGAGGGATTATGGTAACGTGACTTTAACTGTAATAAATCTTTTTAATTTAAATATTCATATATTTTTGATCAGCCCTTGTAGAAATAACAAGATAAACTGAGTGCATAGATCCATAAAAAAAGTCACATGAGCCAATGATGGCACTCTGAGAGGCTGAGACAGGACAGCAGGTCAGGCCCAGCCTGGGCAATATAATGACTCAATAAGATCTTGCCTCAGCAGCCCTGGCCACAAGGCGATGGAGACTGGGCAGGGTGGCACGAGCCTGTAATCCCAGCACTTGGGAGGCTGAAAACAGGAGAATCACTACAAGTCCGATCTCTGTAGTGAGCCCCTGTAGACCCTGTAGACCCTATCCTAAAAACAGAAGAAAAGAAAAGAAAAAAAAAAAAAAAGAAAAGATCTTGTCTCAGAATAAAAAAGGGCTGGACATGTAGTTCAGTGTTAAAGCCTTGGTTTCAATTCCCCAGTATGGAAAACACACACACACACACACACACAGAAAACACACACATATACATGGGTACATGGTAGCTGTGAAAACAATTCAAAGCCCATAAGCAAAAGCGATTGAAATATTCCTCACCAAAAGCACAGGAAACCAAATTTGAGCAATGGAAAGGAATGAATTAGTGGTGCATGCAAAACAGGTAACTCTTGACAGTATTATAAAGAACAAGAGGAGCTAGACACAGAAGAATACAGACTGTAAGATTGTATCATTGGAAGCTCACAATCAGATAAAGCTAATTATAGCTATAGGAGACAGAGTCACCTTTGGTGGTGGCACTGCCAGAGTACTCATAGACTAGAAAGGAGAACAGGGCAACCTTCCAGTTATAGAAATAGCCCAGACCTTCATATGGCTGAGGGTTACATATGTAAAGCACCTACATATGTGACAATTCATTAGGCTGTTAATGCCTTGCTGCTCACCTCAAAAATAAAACCTTACATACATTTGGGGTGTTCTTAAAATGTGAGAAAATCTGGTGATGCAAAGGCAACAAAAACACCAAAACAACACTCAAGATTTGGAGGCAGATTTATTTTATGTCAACAGGTGCTGATTGGGATCTTTCCCAAAATATCAGGCCCTGATATCTGCTGGTCCAGGGTGCACATGGGATAAGCAAGCAGGCAGTACTGAGGCACAATGGCTTGTCAGTTGGGCATTGGTTCTTACAATATGAATCATAATGACCAGCTGTGCATCACAGTGACCAGCCATTTCTAAGAAACAAAGGTAACAATTTGCCCCTGCTGCAGCGAGAACTGCTGCACTGTGCTTGGGCTGCCAAGCAGACCCCATCCCAGTACCTGGCCCAGCACGAACACCTTCTACTTAACACCAGTATCGCATCTCCTGCCGACTCTTCTGAGCTGCTCATGAAGGTGCACAGAAATGGGAAGAGGCCCAGTCCAGAGAGGAGAGAAGAAGGCAATTTTGACAGAGATACCATTCCTCCTGAACCCCTTGCCAAGAGAGTGTGTACCATCAGCCCTGCTCCTCGTCATAGTCCTGCTCTCACTGTGCCGCTTATGAATCCTGGTGGACAGTTTCATCCTACTCCTCCACCTCTTCAGCATTACACCTTAGAAGATATTGCAACTTCCCATCTGTATCGGCAACCTACCAAGATGCTAGAACATCGGGAAATTCGTGAGAGGCACCAAAATCTCAGTCTAAATGGAGGCTATCAGGATGAATTGGTAGACCACCATTTGACTGAGAGGGAATGGGCTGATGAATGGAAACACCTTGACCATGCCCTGAATTGCATAATGGAAATGGTGGAAAAAACCAGGCGCTCCATGGCAGTTCTCAGGCGCTGTCAGGAATCTGATCGGGAGGAACTGAACTACTGGAAAAGACGATTTAATGAAAATACAGAGATGAGGAAAACAGGGACTGAGTTGGTCTCCAGGCAACACAGCCCCGGGAGTGCAGATTCTCTAAGTAGTGGTAAGGGCAGAGTCTGACAGAAACCCAGAACAAACGCCAGCTTTTGGAACCTACCTGATGTGGCATATCTCCTTGACTTTAAAGAACACTGGTGCTAGATTGTGGAGTTGGGAGACATGGGTGATTACAAAGAGTATTTAAGAAATGCTCGTTCTTCCTCATGGAGAATCAATATATCTGTGAATTATTCTCTATGCACACGCACACGCATTACATCAAAATCAGAGTTTGACTGTGAAAGCATGACTTAGACCAGATGTGGTGCACATCAGTAATCCTAAACCAAGAGTATCACATATTTGAGCCCAGCCTGGGCAGCTTAGTGAGACCCTATCTCAGAAAAGGGTTAGAAATATAGCTCAGTCGGGGCCGGGGAGATGGCTCAGTAGGATAAGCGCTTGACTGGCAAACTCAAGGATCTGAGCTCAATCCCCAGTTCTGCCAAAAAAAAAAAAAGAAAAAGAAATATAGCTCAGTCCAAAGGCCCTATATTCAATCCCTAGTAGAACAAAAAGAAATAAATTCAGCCTGATTTAATGTACTACCACTCAAGAAAAATAGTGTACGTTTTACCTCTTCTACTTTCACACAGTAATCAACACAGAATATTTCTGTAACCTTAAAAGCTGTGAGGACTTCTCCCCATCAGGAAACAAGCAGTCCTGCAACAAAGATAATATCTATGTGTTCTCTAAATAAATTCTTCTGATATTGTCTAAAAAAAAAGAAACAAAGGTAACGGAAACTGTAACCAGAACTATTATCAGGGCAACAAACAAACTGCAGTAGAATGGGGGAGGGGTTGCTACGTTTTCCCCTCTTAGTTTCCCCAGCAAATCTTTACTGGCCATGTTACATGTGAGCATTTGAGAATAGGCCCAACTAGAAGCAGCAACGGTAGGCTTGTCAGTGATCCTGGGATGGACCCTAGCAAACGTCCCCAAGATTCTCTTATTGCAGAGTTTTATCCTAAGTTGTTTTTAGGAAGAGACAAAATTTAGGCCTGTGTGTCGTCTACCATTACTCTGACAAAATAGTGAAAGAGTTAATCTGATCTAGGAGCCTGTCCAATGTGCCTTGATTGGTCATCAAATCTTTATCATTCATAAGGGTCTTACTGGTTACTGATAAGTTATGGCCCTAGTAAGAATTGCTGAATTATTATGGTGGTCATCTAATATGGCTGAAGCCCTTAAAACAACAGCTCATCTTCCTAGAGGCCACCTCCCCGCTTCTTCTCCAACTCAGCCCAGGAGGCAGTTTCCTTTCACCTTTCTCTCCACCTCAGGGAAGGCCCCAGTCAGCTCCTCAGGTCTATCTAAACTTCCCCCTCAAGCCCCACCCCTGGCAAAGGCCATAAAAGCCTCAGCCTCCTTTTGTTCCAATCCAGAGAATTCCTTATCTTCCCTAATTCTCTCCGTGTCCTCTAAGACAATGAAGTCCCTTTTCCTTTATAATAAAGCCCCTTTCCCTTTTCCTTCTGCCTGTTTCTCTGCTGCAACACCGTTAAAACCTATCAGTTACTTTCTATTTTCTCCCAGCAATCATCCATAGAGCTAAGGCAAAGCAAGGACTGGAGTATGCAACCTGAAAAGGCACAGAAATCAAGGAGAGTAATGCACTGAGGCATGGAGCAATCTTGTGAATGGTAGCCTCAGGCTTCAGCCATGTGGGGACCTCTTCTCCAAAGAGGTTCTCGTGTGACCAGAGCTTTGAGTGGGTTGTCTTCAGAGTGGGCTGTCTGGTGCAGGTAAATTCTCTAGTGGGCC